TTGATGTACAACCATTGACATGAGTGAGTCATAAGAATCTTATTTTCCGCTGAAGTTTAGCCAGGCAGCCAGCACATGGAACTTGTCAATATCAGGTTGATATTGATTTGATGGTTAGGTGTGGCTTAAAGATAAAGTGATAGATAGAGAGGTAAAGAAAAAGAAGAAGGTGATGATGATGAAAAAGTCACAAGAATGAAAATAACGAAACCTCGTGTTGGATATAGAATGACTTACTGGTTCGTGATGATGATGATGATGATGATGAGATGAGATAAGATGAGATGGCTAATAGCGCAATGTGTGTAAATTTGCCTCATCTATCTAGATATCTAGACAATCATACTCATTCTCTGGAGTAAAATCTACGCTCCGGATTGTGTGACCAAAGGTTGGGTATTCGCGACTTCTAATCGAAGTTCGGAAACCTATCGAGGTGATATTTACGATATGACAATGAAACGATGAAACGACTTATCCGTGATACTAAACGGCGATGCAACAGTGAAGAAGTCTGGGTAATATATGATAGGGCTTTGCTTTAGATAAGATGAGATGAGATCCAAGTATCAGATTAGACCAATTATATCATTTGTTGAACAACACATGCTCTACACTCCTCATTCCTAGATCATCTCAAACACTTCCCAAGTATCACATCATATTATAACGACACATTCATCCAATACATACATACATCTGAGAAATTCCCTCTTATGCCTCAATACAGCGTATGTAACATGTTAAACTTCTCACTTAGTACATCTGCGACGAATAGGAAAAGTTGATATCTCACATCAACACACACAAGGATTTGCAAAGAATCTACTCGAGTAATCCCAAGACTTTTCTTCCTCTCACCGTCTCTTACCTACTCACTCCCACATCGACACAACACCAACAACGTTACATTTAACCATTCTTGGGAGCTGATGGGATTGCACAGCACAGCACGGCACAGCACGGCACAGCACAGTAAAACTCCCATTTGGGATATTTCCATAAGAATCTTGTCGTTGGGTAGGTAGGTAGCTGATTATGATTATACAGAGCACAATAGCTCTTGATTATAAATCGATAAAATTAAATATTCAATCTACCACCTACCTCCTCCTACGAGTAGACGGAACTGTAAATAAAATGTTAAATATTATTCCCGCGGAAAGAGAAGGGTTCATCTTCGGAAGCATCTCGGCATCGTAATCAAGGTTTTCTCATTTCAACATTATATTATATTGAAGGAAGAAAGGAAGACCTGAGTTTTTACCGCGGGTTTCCTGTCCGTGGGGTTCCTTTTATTCTTTTATACAAAAATGTCTTAGTAAGTTTCAAAAAGTTGGAAATTAATTATTCATTCTAGAAGGAGTGGAGAATGTGGGTTGGCTCACCAGTTTTACTTTCGGAGTATGTTATCTTTTGGACTGATAAATCCTTTTCCGTTCCTTATCCGATTTCTTATCCATTCTTATCCATTCTCTCCTCGTCCATCCCATCTTATTCATTTCCTTTCTTTTCCTTATCCCCTTATGTCTCAACTCTCGCACATCATTTCTATCCGTCATTGGCGCGGAAGATGAAAGATATTCGCATCATTTTTTGTCATCGGGGAATTAAGTCCACCTACCTACCTACGTACATACGCATAATTTTCCCTCGGTGATGTGACATGAACTCGGGCTTTCTCCCACTGAACTCGAGGAAGCCTAGGAAAGAAATAATGCAAAGACTCGAGTCTTGAGATCAACATAATCCATCACAAGATCTAGATTCATGTGGTTCATTCTGTTTGGCCCCGCCATATACCGAGTAAATATGATGATGATCATAGTATACTTCTTAAACCCTTCTGAAACTGCATACTCGAGCGTCGAAGGACGCGGTCATATGTGTTGTTTTCTTTTGATATTGCCAGCAGACCTTTACGCAATATCAAAGCAAGCCCAACTGCACAGGATGTAGAGTTATACAGACGTCCCTACTTACTTGGATATCTACTTTTCATCCGACCGTTTGTATGTATGTATGTATGTATGTATGTATGTATTAACCCCTAAAATGATAATCAAGAAACCATATCACGGAACAAGAAAATCTAATCTTTGAAGTTATTCCCCGAAAAGCATCCGACGAGAAAAAGGTTCCAAGTTCGAAATCTAGATCTATATTGTATTATTGTTATCAAGAATATCGGATATTTCCTTTGCACCGAATTTTAGATCATGTTTTGCGATAATACGAGTCATATTTAAATCTTGCTTATACGTACAATAATCAATTGTCCACATAGTAAAAATAGAAAAATCAACACCAAAGAGGTAAAAGGATGCTTGTTTCATTTTCCACCCTCGTCAAAGCACATAGCCGTAGGTTAACCGGTCGGACCGTTTTCAATTTGCGGAGGTGAGGCACCGAACACCCTACGGTATCTAGCATAAGAACGGACGAAACGAAACGAGATGATTGATGGTCGATGGTTGAGGGTTGAGGATGGGGTTGAGACGGGAACCCGGATGATGTATGGAAATGGAAAAGTGCAGAAATTAATTGGAAAGAGAGAAAGTTTACCTTGCCGGCTTTGTTTACCTTGTTTCCGCCTTGACTTGAGATTCATGTTGGAGCGTAGATGATAATCAAGTCTTGGGTGACATTTTAAGTCCTTCAAGTATTTTAAGATAAGATCTTGCTTTGCTTGACTTGACCGAAAGCCCTCAGGTTCCAAGTCAGCTGAAGACGGATGGATGAAATGTTCCGGTGTCACGTCCAAGATTATCGTTCATATCTAAGACCCTGAAAATCCACGATTAACGAGAGTGAGTAGTGATCGATAAACAACACTGTGATATGTATTAAACCAAATATCAAACTCCAAAGATTTCAAAAGCGAAAAGGACGGTCGGATCGAAATGCAGATGCAGATGCAGCTTCGAGAATTAAGGTTACAGAAATTAATGCAAATTAGGGAATTCTGTACGATAGCGACAGCATTATGCAAGGTAGATCAATGAAATAAACAGAGCGGTGAAAGGGTGAAAGGGTGAAAGACGTTAAGAGCGTCCTTCCGATAGGTCCGTACTCATTTGGCGTTGGGATGTGGGACGTGGGATGTGGGATAGCTACGCTGCGTTGCGCTGAGCTGCGCTGAGCTGCTTCACCGTCTTACTCTTTTAATGTGATGGAATTGAGAATTGAGAATTGAGAATTGGGAATTGGGAATTGGGAATTAGGAATCGATAATCTACTTCCGTAGGTAAGGTAGGCAAATAGTTACATTATTGTGTTCCGGTGGGGGAATTTTGGCGGTCAGATCAATTTTTCTATCTATCTATTGGAATTGATCAAAAAAAAAAGAAATCAAAGGCTTGTTTTGTTCCGATTGGGTTACAGATTATGGTTAAAATTTATAGTTTTACGGGAGTAGATCAATCGTACTCCGTACTACTTTAGTTGAATATATGGAAGTATTTCGTGACGACAGAGATACTTCTTAGTAGAGAGAATGGTTGGTGGATATTTTGTATCCTCAACATAAAGTCCCGTTGAATACTACCATTCATTCCTCCAAGTCTCCGACCGACGATGAGTACTTTTATAGTTTAGTTGCATTCCCGAGGCCGTGATAATAAAAAAGAAAAGCGTCTAATTTATTACTCCGTGATAATTAATATCTTAGTTTAGGCTTTCTCGTTGCCCAAAATCCACCCGCAAAACGATCTAGTCCTCATCTTCTTTTACATTGGCGCGTACGTAGATAGAAAAAGTCTGTGAAAAGTCCATGAAAAGTCCATGAACTGCTCCATATTGGCCTCATGGAAAAAAGGCCCTTCCTCCTTCATATGCCCCACGCACATGCTTCTTCTATCGGGATTCTAGTTCGTGATCTGTAGTCCGAAGTCATAGTTATCAGAGAAATCTAGTACATGTGGTAAGGCGAACCGAATATGTAACCCATATGTATTACGCACCAACAAAAGCGGTAAAATTATGGATAAAATGCTAGGGCCAACTCTAATTAATCCAATGCAATGCATCTTCTCTTCCCCGTCCTCCATCTGCTTGCCCTGTTCATGAAAGTGGTAAAGTGTCAGAGTCAGTGGGTTCCAGCCCCGACGCGACCCATTCATTCATCCATCCATCATTTTCAGTCACCGCCTTGAAAATTTCTTCCTTTCTAAGGTTTGACGGGTGGTGTACATGGTGTGCTAATCGCCTAAACAGGTAATCTCCCTGTTCCTTGCGACGTGTTTCTGCCTTCCGGAAGGACTAAAAAGCCATAGATCCATTTTCCCGCTACACCGCGCGTGGGGAACTAGGGAGGTTTGATGGTTTGACTTTTTGGTGGAAAGTGTTTGGTGTTTTGGTGTTTTGGTGTGAAAAAAAAGTAAACAAGGATGACAAGGATAGGGAAGAAAAACATGGCAGCCCACCGCTCTCCAATATGCACGATATGCACGTAAAAAATGTTCGTTCGCGACTCAGGCCTGCTTCCGGGGGAGGGTCTATCATATTATCCATATGATTGTGATTATGATTCATTTTCATTTCCAACCAAGCTCAAAACTAAAGCTAGAGCTAAAGCTACCCTTTCGCGTTTGACCACCGATTTTTTATATTATAGCGCTGCGCTGTGTCATTTGTACCTACATTTAAATTATTTAGTTGATTAATTGATTAATTAATTAATTAATTAATTAATTATTTATTTATTTTATTTACCTGTCAGAGATCCCAACGCATGCACTACAACATTATCACACTACAACACAACGGAAAGAAAATAAACCAAACTAAAACTAAACTAAACTAAACTTTGCATACTCTGTGCACAACAAAAAATTAAAACGGGGTCAAACAAAATTTGATATTAATATATCAACGGGATTCTCGTTTCATCCATCATCATCATCATCATCATCACTATCATTTTCCAATCTGGATTCTCCAAGAAAAGTTATATTTACATCCTGATATCCGCCTCCTCCCAAACAACTATTTTCAGGATAACAACTACCTACTTACTCATTCTGACCTCATCAAATCTCATATCGTTACATCCAACCATCCAACCATCCAACCATCCAACCATCCAACCATCCATCCATCCATCCATCCATCTCAGTCATCATCCATCCATCGATTACTTTACATCACCTACCAACGTTTCCAAGTTCCCAAGGCTTATTTCTCCAGACCCCGAATTACTCCGGATTATATTTATATATAAGCGGAGTTTCGAGACTTTGACCGAATCTTCTTGGACCTTTGAGCCAAAAAATCCGGGGCTGAGTAAACTACCGAGTGGGCGATTCATTTTTACGCTTTGCCATTCATCCATTATTCGCAGATCGACACGAAGGTTTTTCTGCAGGGCTGACGCAAGACTTATCGTTACACTTTCCAAAACACACTACACCACCACGCTGTAACGCGAAACCGAGATCCCTTTGGTGCATATTACGAACCGGTGATTCATTCACTGCTTAGGCTTCCAAACTGACTCGGTCTGGGGCTTTCTGATCTGAGTAATATTTCCGTGTGGAGTAGCTTGGTCATTAATACTTATATCTGGAGTCGACCCCGGATTTTTGAATCAATCAAACTTGGAGTTATCTACTTACATCGATATAACTTATATCTCTTCGAACACACACACAACACACATACAAACAATCAAAATGTATTTCTCTTACACACCATCACCACCCTCAACAAGCTATAGCACCTCCTCCGCAATGGAGATCCCATCCTCCTCTAGCTCACGTCCACAATCTCCATCATGTGCCTTTCCTTCTTGGCCACGTCGATCATCCATGAACTCTACCAACTCCATCGATGCTCAAACTCAAAACTATTCCTATACCTCCTCTGCCTTTTCCGACGAAGAACTCTCTTGTGGTCTTTATCCTTCCGTCTTTGAAGAAGAAGATTGTTCACCACTCGCCACGCCAAACATCCGTTCACCATCTGGATCCATGTGTGAACCACAATATGTCGTTGTCGATAACGCAGCACTCATGAGAGAGTTGATTGCGCAACACGCAGCTGAGAAGGCAAAGAAGAAGGAAAAGGCCGCAGCGGAAAAGAGCAAGAAGAGACATGGATCTAGCTCAAGAAAATCGAGACATAGCTCTGGTGCAAACTCAAGTAAACACATGACACCCATTGCCGAGGTTGGTGAATGAAGTGTCTGATTGAAAGGTGTTGGTTGTTAGGATAGGATCTTTTGGTAAGTTTTACTTCTTTGTTACTTCGCGATGAGTTTAGTTTCGGTAACTAACTTGATTAGATCATAGTATATTATACCCCAATAGATAGATACCATAGATAGATATCATCGTTTTCAACAGGCGACTTCGAAACGAAATGAAAGGAAAATAGAAGGAACATAGAGGCAACTCGAGTCATCCATCACACCAAGCAGCAATTTGCGCACGTCGCTTATCTAGAAGAATATCTCATTTGTCGAAATGATCGATATTCGGATATGATGAAGGTTGGATGGGCGATGGGATCACTGGATAGGGTATATACATGCATGGATAGCATTGTTGGGATGGACAGGACAGGACAGGAGAGAATATCTCTTCAAGGGAAGATTGATAAGGAAGAAGGAAGAAGGAACTTCGGGGCGCATCAGATTACCCCTTCTTTTCTTTCTTTCTTCACAGTTACAGAATGAAAGGTGAAACAGACACCTCACTAGGAAGGGATTTACATATGGGGGTTGATAGGATTTATTTGGATTGTTTATTTATTTATCTATTTTGGGATGGATGGGTTGTGTGTGTATAATTTTGAGGAGGATGAATGATGGTCGTTTGTGGATTTTGTCTTCTTGTTTTCCTGCAAGGGATTGTTCTGGATAGGATTTTTTGGTCTTTTGTTTCTTGATGATTTTATGATGAATATACCCAAGGTTATTAGTGAGAGGAAAGAAAAGGAAGGAAAGGGAAGAGTAGTTACTTTAAGCATTCGCTTAGATTATTAGTATGTTGGTGTATTGGGATAACTAGTTAGTTGAGAGATTGATGATAATCTTGAATTTATATCAAGTCTGTTGTTTATATATATGAGTCTTTCTGTCTTTGTGATTTATTTGTGATGTTTGTGATACTCATATCATATTGAAGAAAAGTTAAGTGAAATGAAGTAAAGTATATATCATCATATCCCAACACCTATCTACATCTCTTCTTTTTCTTCTTCTTCCCCATCCTTTTCTCTTTTGCCTTCTTTCCCTCTTCTCTTTCGTCTTCTTTCTCTCTTCCTCTTCTTTCTTTCATCTTGTTTTTTCTTTCTTGTTTTTCTTCTTTTAATTTTTTAATCTTATAAAAAATATATATACAATATAAGTATAAATATAAATATTATTTAAATATTTAAAGTTTTATTTAAAATTCTATTTCATAAATTCGAGTATATATATATATTCAATAAAGATAATCTTTAATTTAATAATCTATTAATCTATTACTTAATTTTATTCCAAGAAGCGAAAGCGAAAGCGAATAGAATAGAATGAATAGGGATAGGGATAGGGATTGGGAACCGATGGATTGGTTTGTGTTTGGTTGGGTTGGGATGGGTTAGATTAGAGGGGATTGGCTGGGTTGGGGGAATTGGTAGATAAATGGATAGATGGATTGGGATTGGATTCGCAAATGCGAGAACAGAGTAGAACAGAAATAGGGGGGAGGAACTTAGAAGATGGTGTGGTGTGCTGATGTTTGGATTGGATTGGATCTGAGGGGTTATTGGTGGGAGGGAGTTTAAAGCTTAAGAGGGTGTCGTGATGTTTGGATTGGGGTGGGGGTTGAAGGGGATGAGGGATGGGGATGTGAGCGTGTGCTTTTCAATTGATGTGCTATTGTTGATGTGGTATTTTATATACTTGGTACTTGTAAACCAAAGCTAAAGCTAAGGGGAAAGGGAAAGATGAGATGAGTTATGTAATTAAGATACATACATACATATACCACCCAAAGAGGAATATCTACAACGCTCCTGAAGTATGAAGTTTGAAGTATGAAAGCGGAAATTTGAAGTTTGAAATTGAGGGTATGGGGGCGGAATGATGGTTAGATAGATATTAAATCGAAGTGAGGGAAGGATGAATGGATGGATTAATAGATTGATGTAATGCCGAGATGAAGAAATGAGTCTTTGTTTATCTTGTCGCATGTAACCTTAACATGCGACAAGTTAGAGATATATAGTATGGTGGTGTAGAGAGAGGGTTGGTGATACATGAGTTGGTGGCAGTGTCCTGATTGATTGTTTGATTGCTTGCTTGCTTCTTTGCTTGCTTGCTATTTCTATAGTAAAGGATCATCAGATGAACAAATATTCTTATTAAGTCGTATCTGGAGTGCTAGACATGATGAGCCATCTGCGAGCTGACTGCAAGATTAGGATTACAGTTTGTAAGTACTCCTTAGATAGATTACTGTTTATTTGATATAAGCAAACTTCAATATATATTTGAGATTTTGATACAAATCCTTGGATAGATTCTATTACTGCTATAGAATCCGAGCATACAATATAAAATCCAACATCAAACCAAGCACCAACATCAAAACCAAGCACCAATAACAAGAAACACCCAGAAAAGCTTACCAAAACCTCCAGAAGTCGTCAAAGACCTAGACCATCTCCATCTCCACCCCCACCGGCACCTTCATCCATAAAACCCCAGCTAGGAGCATCCAAGCGATGCCAAGTACTTGTGCGTATTGCTATCGACTTCCTCAAAACCTCAATAAAATCCAATCCGTTTGGATAAATTGGAAAATTCGACGTGGTCTGGCTTAAATACATATATTTATCATTTTGACGGTTTTGTCAGTTCTGTTGGTATTTTATATGCCAGTAGGAAGGAGAGCCTTGGGTTGAATATGCGGTTGAGTTCTGGGCAGGGCGATGGGCTTGATATCGATTTGATCTGAGGAGTTGAGTTGAGTTGTTGACCGTACAGACTGGTAAACCGGTACTTTTGGCGTTGATGTGGGATTGTTTTGTGCTAGTTTTATAGCGCATATGAATACAATACATATATACAATAGTGAGATAGATCACTTCCTCAACTTTAGCTTATAAAATACTCGAGTATATGTAGAAGTTTTGAGGTACATGACCTTATACATGGTTGAGATTCCTATTCCTATTACTATTTCTATTCTTATAACTATTTCTATACATTCCATTCCATACCTACTTTCTATATAAATATATCATCATACATACCCAAATAAAGAGGCGGGACATATCATTTATACGTACCGTTAGACCTATTCTTTGACCTTTGTGGAGGCTAGTCTAATATGATACGACGCGATGCGAAACGGAGACAGGATCCTCCGCATTAAATGTAGGTCAGATATGTGGTCCTATCGTACATACATGCATACACATACATACGTACATCCATATATACGCACATATATATAGAGTACAGTACAGTACAGTAGCCGCAAAGTAGTGCAGGAAATGTACTGTGCCTTGTTCTGCGGCGAAGGACATTGATGTTTTACAGTGCATATTCTTAGCCCCTGCCTGTACTCTACACAGTATGTAGGTACGGAGTATGTATACAATAGATTGAAAGAAAGATATTTGTGGACCACTGGTGGTCCTCATCAACGATAATTCGACCATGGGAATTCTCGAGATCGACTTGGCGGTATGTAGCTAGTGGGTTCATTGGTAACAGGTAGCGATAATGATAGGAGAGAAGTGGTTGTAAATGAGGGGAGAGGGGAACGGAATATGTCGAGATGGTTCTTCAATCACACTTGGGCAATTGTGAGAGATGTCTCATCTCAGTAGATAGATAGATAGGATAGGATAGGATAGGGAAGTAGATAGGTAGCATTTATGAGTTTGACAATGTTGTCTTATACTTCCCCGACTTGTTGAGATTGAGATGGATGGAACGAACCTGGATATGTTCCGAGGATGAACTTTTTTCATCACATATAGATATAAATTTAGCAAATCATAGATGAATCACGTATAAACCCGTCACCTCTTATGCATCTATTGTTCGTATGTGAATACGACATGAGAAATAAATTTCATCCACACGGAAGGATGGATAGATGTAAGCAGTTAAACCATCAACCCATCACATTTTCTACTGGATTATTTCGTGATTCAATTTATTTGTGTGTGATGAATACGGATGGAATCTTTCATGGTGTATCCGGATATTGTATTATATTATATTTGCTCAAACCTTTCCTAGGTACCTCTCGATATAATCTAATAACCTCGGAAGCAACATCAAGCAAGCACACGCATCCAATCACACTAGGATAGCACGGATGAAGGAGAGATCTTTTTACAGTTCTCACACACGGCACTGGTGTAGGTAAGTCTTACTTAATTATCTCGTTTCTCCGAACCCAAATAAACTCAAATCCCTTCACCTCCCCCTCAGATACATCCAAAAGGATTCTTCAAAGCAGGGGAACGGGAAGCTCGGAAGGTTGCGAAACCATGTTCGTTCGCACAATCAAATCTTGCAACGGTGGACGGATGATGAACGATGGATGATCTTTTGTCGGTTTTTTTTTGTTATCTCGGCTCCTAATTGAGTTCGGACCTGAGATTGACCAAAGATATTGATGGATGAGAGAAGAGATGATGGGAGGGATGGATTGATGGATGGATGGACAGATCAATCACTGATCATCTCAATCTATTTTACTTTAAGTACTTAGGAGGTATAGTTTTGATCGAATTGGGAAGATTGATATGATGCAAGGAACGAGAATCGGACGATTTTCGTGGTGAATAGATTGATTGATTGAATATAGCTAGTAGTTAAGAAAATCTACCTACCTACCTTGAGTCGGGATGAAAATCTTTTCAGAGAAGGGATGTCGCCAAAGGAAAATAACGAATCGAATTATTATTGAATTTTTTCATAACATATCTATCTTCTTTAAGTTCCATGGTACTTGTACAGAATCATGCCATTGGGAATATTTGCCACTTGGAAGAATATCACAATCACATACCTTTGTTGGCGCTTGGAGAGATAATGACATGGAATCGGGATATTTATTGGTTTTTTGGATAACAATGATGGTTCATTCTGGATATGGGCCATCATGTCTGACTCGTCTCATTCATTTTCTATCTCTCATCAATTATCTTCTCTCCCTTTGGTCTTTTGATCCTTTTCTAGTCAATCTAAGTTACTCAATCCCATCATCCATCATCCACTACCATCACCATCACCATCAAATCTAGCCATCCAAATCGTCTCAGCGACTCGATAGTTTAAAAGAAGCCGTGCCAACCTTGCATTGTTGCTCATTGATATCCCATTTCGTTCTCTGATAGGATCAATCATGGGTGATGAATGGCATTCATCTTGCATCTCGTGCATATCGCTAAGAATAATCCCGTACGCCTTTGACCAGTAATGGCGCTTACGTGCCTTGCGATGAAAGAAACCGTGGAGCATCGTGGAGCAACTTCAAGGATCACACACAAAAGACCCATCCGACGCCAAATTTGGTATGAGTGGAATACTAAAATGCTGGAATGAACGAATAGCATGAACAGATTCTTCATCTTTTCAGCAATCCAACCAATCATCCTTGGATTTGGTGAAATCTAATATCACCCTCATTCCGCATCCAGGGCCATCACTCGAATCAACAGATGAATTCAACCCTTTCTCATCTCATCACCTTGTACAACACAACATGAACAATATGACTAAGTTAACGTTGTGTCTACTATTTCGGAAATCCCTTCTCTCATAGGGTACCTATTCAAAATTGGGTACATATCACAGAGATTAAGAATACCCACCCATTCACACCATTCATCCAGTACGGAGTACACATTCACGAATCCAGGTACAACCCAAGAATACCTGATTACATAGCCAGTACGAGCCTTCTGATGTCTGTTCCTCACAGCCTCTCTGGGAATAGAGGTGCCGTATACTATACTAATCCATGATTCGTCTTACTGCTTCCAATACATGTATCCTGCTTGTACCAGGTATCGTTACCATGCCGAGATGTTCCATTTTCCACGCAGTTCGAAGAGTCAGGTGAGTGTACATTGCACCAACATGTCAACCCGAGGATCCAATTAATGATCGACCAAGCATGTTAACGTTGAATTTCCCCTCTCCTTTTATTACCCAATTGTAAGGTTACCAATTGCTTCCAATTATCTTCAGAAGATGGTGTACGGAGTACCGCCCCCAGTCACAAATCTTCATTCCGGGTCCTTTATATCAAATCTTACCATTTTGGAAAAATCTCAACTTTTAACCTCTGAAAGAAGGCCAAAAATACAATTGACCCACTTTCTTGTGACTGAGAACACAGTATGTGATCACCATCACACAATCATCACATCTTTCTCCCCTCCTCTGACGGTAGGAAAATCCAGACAGGACGCATGTCAGCAGCCTCGAAAAAGGGTCAAGAAAAGCCCTGACAGAAATGCATCACGAATACAAGGTACAAATGGAGAGGAAAATAGCCCGAGCACCATGGAGGGGGCATCAACCCTTGATAGCATGCTCTAAGCTTTTGCCAGGGTATGCTCTAAGCGGTATGTAGACGGTAAGGTGGCTTGTCTATCTTGACTTCTTACTTGGTGTTAGACACATGAGCCGGACCGCGACCGCATCACCTTTTCCACACCCACATCTGTATCCCATGGGCCATGGTTCGGCTGGAGTATGCGTATCGACAATTCGCAGGGTGCATAATTTTCTAATTTGGTCTCCGCATTATCCACTGATAGTCTAAAGAATCTTTAATTAGCCGCTCTGTCCCATAGTGCCCTAGAAACCCTACAACGCTCTCGGACCTAGTGACGAAGGCTATCAACCACCCAAAAAGCCATATACGGTGATTGCGCTCATTTCCTAGTGTCAATTCCTCTCCAGTCTTTTTTATCTTTTCTTAAAGCGTGTAAGGATCGTTTTGCTGCTTCCTCTGGACCCCATTCTAGCGCCCTATCTGCCGTTTTGCGATTCGGTTGGCTCCAGGCATGAGACGAGGATCTTTTAGTGCCATTGATGTCCTGTAGTCTGTTCTCGTGTCACTTAATCACTTAACTCGCTCTAGAGCATATTCTCTCGCCCAGTTGTACATTCAACGTTCTTGACCTTTTCCTTCTCGACCATTGTACAAAGACTTGGAACGATTCCCGGTACACAACCACGCATCACAGTTGTTCACGGCGACACAGCAGAACGCCTCAATTCATTCGGTAGCTAGACTTCTGCACTACTACTCTTTTACCGCCCGCTATACAGAATATCCATGGGACAACCGATATAGAATTGGGCGTGGATAGTGGTCAGCCCTCTGTACTGCAGAAAGCACAACAGCGAGGGAGAACGGCAAGAGGCCTGCGTTCTAGCTGATATATCTGTAAGTGACATTCTCGATTCTGAAAGTAGAAGAAGCATTGGACTTCCATATCTCTCGGGGCTTCATGTGTTCATGTAGTCAACCTTTGGACAGAGAAACTCATGCAGCGCTCCGACTAACTATTCCGATGCTCGATCCACAGATAACCAAGTTATCACCACCATGTCTGTCGCGAGGACCCGGTCAATGTCAATGAGATCCGGCCATTCATCCAAAGGCACTGGAGCCACATTGGCTGAAGTCAGTATGCCTTCGATTACTATACCTCGCGATTTCGAACCCTGTGCTGCGACGGCCTCCATGTTCCTGTATGTGCAAGGAAATACAGTCGTATGCTGTCATCACGATACGCTTAAGATTGAAAGACGGTTTGCGAGGCACACAGAAGAGATACAGTTATTAGCAGTGGATAATATTAGTGAGAGAGGAGCCGGAAGATTAGTTGTAAGCTACGATGCTGGCCAAACTGCCATTGTGTGGGATTGCATGACGGGGGATGAAATTGCCCGATTTGCCAGTTACGAAAATCTTACAGTGGCCGCTTGGATGCGCAATGGAAATGTTGCATTTGGTGCGTATGGCGGGGTAGTGGAGGTTGGGGCTGCGTTGCTGATGAATTACAGGAAATGCTCAAGGAAATGTGATTCTTTTTGAACCGACAACATCAGAGCATATATCCTCCAGAACTTTAGATCAAATTCCCATTACAGCTTTGGCACCAGCAGCGGATTGTAGAACATATGCAATTGGGTAAGTAAAATCTCAGCGGTACACTTTTGGATTTTTCGCTGATTTCATCACAGATTTTCCAATGGGTCTCTCTTGATTGCAGCATTGCAACCAAGATTCATAATTCTTCACAACTTGACAACTTCAAGAGGACCATCACCAATCGTAACACTATCATGGCATGCATCATCATCACGCCAGAAATCGGACATGCTAGCTTCTCAAACCAATGATGGTGACTTACGAGTTTGGAGCATTGCTAAATCACCCACCAGCAACGACACAGCGAAAGTAGTCCGGGTATTGAAACGTTCCGAAAATTTTCAAACCGGTCCCAATTGGCTAGGATGGTCCAAAAATGGTCGTATTATCCAGTTTTCCGAAGGGTAAGCAAAAACCTAGTGCTCCCCCCTTATTTGTCCCCCACATTGCATAAGGCCATGGGCGCGCGCTTAGCAGCAACCACTTACACAAGGTGTGATACAGGGAAACATCGTCATGGGACGTACGAACGAAACAGGTCACTTTCGAGAAAGTTCCGACATTGGATATTGTGAAGGGTCTAGCTGTTTATGGACCTGGAGCGACGCTCTTCACGCTGGGCCCAAACAATACGGCCCAGCAATTTGATCTTAATTCTCCGCCTCAAATGGTGGCAAACGTTCAACATCCAGCCAATTTGTTGCCACCTTCGCCCCCTGTTTCTGTAGAGGAGCAGCAACAGCAGGCCGCTCAAGCGGTTGCCGCTGAAGTTTCAGCTGTACCAATCAATATCGATATCTCCGAGAGTGACTCCGATCGGATGTCGCCGCTGGCCAGAATTGCTCGACGTGGTGATGAAATCGAACAGCAATTACGTGTCGAGGCCATGGAGCCTGACCGCGCTGAACCATTATCTCCCGTATCATCAAGAAGTCATACATCAACTTCCACTAGATCATCTGCAAATTCAAGGCAACATACTAATCGTTATCATGGTAAACATTCTTCGGGCTTATCGGCTGTATCACGAGGAGGTATGAGTGAAGCAACAACTATGTCATTTGGTTCGTCGATTCATACCGGTGCTACCCGAGAACCTTCTGTGCTTTCAAGTCGGGACTCGTACGCTCAGAGTAATACCAGCTCAGCACGCTCATATCGTTCCCGACATCGTGGATCTCGGTTAAGACAAGAGGTACTCCGCAGTCCGGATGAAGCGGGAAGTCATGTCGTGGAACTTTTCAAGTACACAAAATCCAGGCTGAGTGACATTCCTTATCGTCAACCACAAGTCTCAGACGGTGACCATCTCACAAATGATGATCTTCGTCTACAAATGCTCAGCACAATATTTGGATGGGACGGAGAAGCCGAAGGATTGATTCGTGATGAGATGAACCGAGCACCAATGGGGTCTACTCAAAGAGTTCTCCTTGCAAAATGGATTGGCGACCTCGAACTTGATATCATGGCTACGAGTTCCGAATCAATGACTTCTTCCGATTGGATGCTCCTTGCCTTGAGCGGAATCGGAGGACACGCTTCTCAAACAAAGGTCGCCAGAGCATATGTTCAACGTCTTTTGGAAAAAGGAGATGTTCATACTGCTGCCACAATTATGCTCGGTATGGGTGATCAAAATGATGCAATTGAGATATACGTCTCCCACAAACGATTCATGGAAGCATTGATCCTGACTAGTCATGTTTTCCCATCAGACTGGTCTCGACAAGCTGGCTTGATTAGAAAATGGGGCGAGTGGGCCGTTCAACATGGTCAGCAACAATTGGCCATTCGTTGCTTCTCATGCACAGCATCCGAGTCTTCTGAACCTTGGACATCACCATCTGCTCAAGCTGCCACTTTCACAAATATCCATAGCCAAAGTATTCCAGAGGTACTAAGCCCTCCTCTATCACCACCTAGCCACCGAGGTCCACAACGTAGCATTGCCAAAACGTCAGCACTGAAGCTCATCACAGCTTTCGGGGATAAACACCAAAAGTCAAAGTTCTTTGGTATCGATAATGATAAGACACCGGTTGGTCCTGGTCCAACACCAATTGAGGAATCTGCCATTTCTCCAGGTGGTGACACAGCACATACTGCTTTCTTGAGACCTGGAAACCGTAGCGTTTATCACACACCAGCCTCTGCACGAACCGCAACTCCAGGTGGCTTCTCACGTAGACGTCTTCCATCTATCGGTGAGACACCTAATGATGTCATACCTCGAGTCAGATTAGAACCTTTGAATCTACCTACACCCGGAGATTCTGGCCAATATATTCGTGAAGCGGAGGTGGAGCCATTGCAGCTGAGCTCGGCAACATATACTCCCATCACGAAGAATAGACCCACGACGCCTATGACCCAGAAAAGGATTGCCAATCCATTACCATCACCATCGCCAGATACATTTACCGCGAAAAAGCAAGACGATCGTACGAGAAATGGATCACGACATCGTAAACCAGATGGTCTGCAAATTCAATGGCCACCTATGGAGTCGATAATTACGGGTGATTATATGACATCTCCAGAGCAAACAGGATCATCACATCACGGCCACAGAACTAACCGCTCAATTGGAGATCCTTTGAACTCTGCTGCTCTATCATCAGCCGCTTCCGTCTCAGCTTCAAGCAATGCCAGAAGTCCAATAACAAGCGAGAGAAGTTTCAGAACGACAAGTCCGGTATACCATGGTCGAAGTATTGATCAATATATTAGCAGCTTGGATTCCGCTACATATCATAAGAGACAACAACGTAGTCGACAAGCTAGTCGGGATCGAAGCGGAAGAGGCCGTAGCAGTAGCCGAAAGCCAAAGGCTCGTGAAGCTTCGGAAGATAGAGGAAGGAATATTAATCAATACATCAAACCTGCGAAGCGTTCACCAACCTCGCCTATCCCAATGTCACCTGAAGATTTGAGAGATCTGGGTGCTACAGTCTCCGATGGTGAAGTGGTGATTGGAGAGAAACAATACCGGACAGATAGCGGCACAGAGATCAAATCATCCAGACAAGCAAGCCGAGTTCGACGACAATCTCCCGAACCAAGCAAAGCATCTAGTCGTCAAGCAAGTCGTAACGCTAGCCGTCGACCACCTAGTCCCGATACCAGACTAGGAGGACGGGATGCTCGTGGTCGAAGTGCAGGACGTGGCGGATCAGCAATCCGTTCGCCTTCTTCTCCATTGCCATTTTCACCTCAAGCAAAATTCTACCAGGAAGATGAGGTTGCTGATTATGAGGATCTTAGAGCCGCAAAGGCAGATCAGCTTGCTTTTAGAATGAGAAGTGGTAGTCGTATGAGAGAGCGTGGTACAAGTGCCGTTCGAGCTTCTTCACCAAATGGAAGACGTCGTGACAGATCTACAAGTCGAAGACCATTAGAAGGTCAAAGATCACCATACATGACTCGAGATGGTGCTGAGTCTCAAACTCAGTTGCAAACACAATCGGAGTCCGTACAGAAGGCCGCCGAACAACCTAAGATGGATCCAAAAGATGAGCGAGCATTAAAGAGAGAACAGGCTGCACGCGAGCTGGAAGAAAGACGTAAATCTCTTGCTCAAAGACCGTTAGCACCACCGATCATTCACCCAGGAGAATTAAGTGGTTTATCTCCACTAGCTTATCGTCCAACTACGAACTTTCCTGAACCCAGATCTGCGCCATCGTATTCGCCTCCCAAAGCAAGTCCTCAAGCTCCCAGAAGCCAACAGACTACACCGAATAATAATTCTCCAGGGAGCGGGTTTGGATCAGCTCCAGAGTCATCCGTGCAGATTGGTTTACCTGCCACTCCAAGAGCTATGCGTCATCCTAAGTATGATCCTGAAGGTAACGGTGCAGAGAGTATTCCACAAGTTCCTCAAATTCCAGGGAGATACGATACAGGTCCACAAGCCCAAACTGCCACGTTGAGTGCAGCCGCCTTCAATGCTTCATCTGATGGTCTACATGACACATTTGGACCTCTTCCAAAAACAGTGTATCAGGCATCTCAACCACCTCGTCGTATGCCTCCTCGATCTGCTTCAGCTCCTATCCCAGAAGAGAGTTTCTACAAACCAAATGTGATCCCAGCAGGCTTACCAATCCATCCCGCATTTCAAGCAGCAATTCCATCGAGTTCATCAAGACGCACACCAGATACCAGAGAGAGAATGTCGCCCACTCAATCTCCACGTAGACAAGCCTCGGGCGATTTGCAAGGTGAGACTGGAAGTCGAAGCGGAAGTCCTGTTTACGCTAGTGGACCTGTCAATGTATTGACTGGAATTGACGAGACGATTGAGGCTATTCAAGCAATGCCCATGCATCATCCAAACAATGATTTGATTCCTCCACCACCACCGCCCCCACCAGCTCCACCCCTTCTCCCACAGCTCCAACATTTGGCTCTACCACCCCCACCACCACCTGCTCCATTATATAGACCCAATGCCAACACCAATTCCATGGTCTCAGGTGTATCATCAGGATCAGGTATTTCGGGCGTATCTTCTGGTTCCGGTGTAATCGAAATCGTAATGGACGATGAACCAATCCCCATGATTCCCAAAAGCAAAACACCCACCATACTATCCTCCTCTACAATGAACTCCAGCTCCATAATGGAACCACCACCAATTCCACCAGCTCTTGAACGTCGCCGAACTTCCTCCGTCTCTCACATCTACACACATAACCGTGGTCGTTCGGAAACGGACAACTCCCTTTCCAACCGATTCTCGCGCGCTGCAGAACGTTTGAGAAGTGCTAGTCGTGGTAGAAATAATTCCAGTCCTATCATTGATAAAGGAGCTACGAAGAGTCCGATTGAGAATGGTAGTAGTCCATATGAAAGTGTTCCTGCTGCGAACTGGGCTCCACCACCTTCACTTAACAGGAGTGCTACTACGACTCCTTCGAGTGGAATGAAAGCAGAGAGACATCCTATGGAAGTGAGAGCTGCTTATCAAGCGAGTATGGAGGGTGGAATGATTTGATGGTTTTTTCTTTCCTTTTTTGCATGATAGGCGTTTTTCTTTTTCTTTTTTTGTTTTTATCTTCTATTCTTTGGATATTTGAATTTTGCTTCATTTTTTCCCGCTTCGATTCTCGATACCCTTTCTATTCTTCCTTTTCTTCTTCTTCTTCTTCTTCAACAAGTCCTCTTCATTCTTTTCCCATTTCAAACACAAACAAACGCATAACGACTTCTAGTATAGCTTTCTCAAAAACTTTATTTTTGGTGGACGGATGGTGGAGGGTGTGCTGGATGGATGGGAAAAATTTTTATTTTTTTTTACATAACATTCTTGACTGTCTTTTACAAACAAACAAGAAATTTAGGATTTACAGAAGAAGCAGAAAGATAAAAATTTGGCTCAGGCTTATGATATTATGAGTCTTTATGGGAGATGAGATTGGCGATAGCGATAGCGATGTTGATGGATATTTTGGAGTAATTCTTTTGGTGCGAAGATGAGGAGAGAGAAATTTGTTCATAATATTGTATATCTACTTCTGCATCATCTTTGAATATATATTTACATTTTGCATATGAAGCGTTTGTTTCTTTCTTTTGTTTTGCATTTGTTTGGGGTGGAGGTATGTTGCTTTTTATTCACTCTTTTGGCCCTTGCGTTGCTGTTGTTTTCTTGCGTTTGAAGTAGTTACGTCTTGGATTTGTTTGATTGAGAGGGATGGAATGGAATGGAAGGGGTTAAGTGATTGCTTAACTCAAGTATCTTCTTGTTCCTATGGGTTGGAATCACAGTGCTGTGGTGTATGCACGACAGAAGGCAGAATAGTTGAGTAGGATTGGGATACAGGAGACCTAGGAAGAAAGAATGGTACAAGATGAGACGGAGCAGAGACGGAGACGGAGATGGAAACTAAGATGAGAAAATGAGGCACGAAATTGATGAATTTGAATTTGAATATGACCAAAGCACAATACCTAGTATAGCAGTATAGCTGTCCAAAAACTGAGAAACGGACAGGAAAATCGGAAACCACAAGCTTGGAATGAAAATGAGAGGAGGACAAAAAGTGTGGTTGAACAAATGGGTATGGAGTTTCTTATACTTCTTGCCTCGCGGCTGGTTGCTCGTTTGCTTTTTTTGTTTTAATGCTTTTTTTAACGCAGGTCGGAGATAATCTTTGATTCGAGGGTTAATTTGAGATTGAGATTGAGATGGATGCTTTAGGATTGAATTATGACTTGGGATTTGGAATTGGATTTAATGATGATTATGACTCCTACTTACTTGCAATGATCTTGGTGATGTTATGAGAAGTGATGTTGTGTGCTGGCTGATCTTGTCATCTTGAGAGATAATATCTTCAAAACTGTTATTGTTCGAGGAGATAATAATGTGAAGTGAATAGAGATACCCATGTATATGGAGTTTTTCCATTTTCTAGGACAAGAGATGAGATGCAAACACTTGTAGTGAGGGAAAAGAAGGTGTCTTCAATCTGAGAACACTTAACCCATGCATAAAACGACTGCTGGGGCGGAGGTTTTAACATTATATTTGCAATTATCTCTAGAAAAACATGTCGAATATTCTTGCTCTGCAAAGCAGACACTAGTTCATCATTCAACTTTGAATAGGGATTAAAATCATATATCAAAGATTTTATATATAATTTCAGGATAATGACCATCTACCAAACCACCTCTCAAGACCCCTGCAAGACCCCCCACGTGACCTTCAAAGAAGTGTCCGAGCGACCAATTTTCTCACCAGATGAATCTCGAACGGAATAACGAAATCCAGGAATTGGGCTCCGAAAAAACGTGCAGGTAACCTGCAACGCCCAAACCACCTCGCCATGAGTGTTTCCCGACCCGCGCGATGCATTTTCAACGCGCCTCTCGCCAACCTGCGACCGCTGACGCGGCGTCAAAATTTCCACTCCTCTGCTCCCCTCCCCGCACGACGTCGTTCCCGTTTTGCTAGCATAAAACATTCAGAGGTGGATAGTGCTCCTGCGAAAGAGCTTTACCCGGGATATAGCGAGAAGGAGAGAAGTTTATTAGGAAACGATATACTGCGGAGCAAATTGCGGCTATTGAGGCAGCGGAGGAAGCGGTCGATGTGGAAGATTTGAAGAGTCATGGTGTGATACGGACGGATTTGGGAGGGTTGAGGTACATGGATGATTTAAGTATGACGCAGCCGGTGATCGATAAGAAGATTATGGATTATCGGATTGATCCGAATGGACGCTGGATCAGGATAAAATCGGAGACGAATTCGTGGCATATATGGATAAAGTGATGGAAGAAAATCCCGAGGATGTCGATCCTGAGGATCCCGACTGGGAAAATAAACATAGGCCGAACAGGTTGGATTCGCTGAAGGCGCTGCAGAAGGAAATGGGAGATCCAAGTACTTTTGCTTTTGCACCGCAGGTACCTGGGGATTTTACAAAGGAACCTGGTAAGGTTGCGGAGATAGCGAGGGAGGTGGACGAAGATGATGAGGAGAATCTTGATCCTAGGGATCCAGATGGGGTTTATACGAAATTGCGCCATCAAACAGGACTTACCATGGACGAAATCTTGAGCCTCGATACTAAAATCCTCGTCAGCCATCGAGTTGTCAACCAAACGCGTTTGGGTAAAATTGAAAGTATGTACGTATTGGCAATTGCGGGAAATGGAAGGGGCAGATTAGGAATAGGAGAAGCCAAAGGACAGGAACCGGAAGACACGAATAATAATGCGAAGATTGCGGCGATTAAGAATATGCAGCCGGTTCCGAGATATGAGGAACGAACAATTTATGGAGATGTAGGAGGGAAGGTTAGTGCAGTTGAAGTTGAGCTTATGGCAAGACCTCCAGGTATGTTTTCATTTTCATTTCCATGTCATTTTCCTGCCTGTAGAGGAATTTATGATGTGCGGGGTAAGAAGAGGGACTAATTCGATTCTCTCAATGTAGGATTTGGCCTGCGATGCCAAAAACTTATCTTTGATATGGCAAAGGCAGTAGGCATTCACGATCTCGCCGCCAAAGTACCACGTTCGAGAAACAAGATGAACACTGTTAAAGCCACCTACCAAGCATTAATGAAGCAACGAATACCAGATGAGATTGCTAGGGGTAGAGGAAAGAAACTCGTGGATGTGAGGAAGGTTTATTACGGAGGAAGGGTGTGAAAAAGGAAGAAAAGGAAAGGGAATATGTATATTTACCTTGCATATTGTATGAATACTACTAGATGGATGTGGAAGAAAAATGTGCATATGCATAGACTGGCGTAATGCCGGGAAGGAGGACAAAAATTATATGGAAAAGCAAGCATCAAATTCATGATATTGCATTGAAGAAGATCTTAAAAGGAAAGAATTTGGGTTGCATTACACATATTATTATGTGTGGGTATCTTAATCCAAAACTCCTAAATAAAGATGAAGCAATCCTTCCCCCTTCGACTAATTTTGACAGCTGCAGTTCGTGATATTTCGTGGTGATGGGTACTTTTAGTGAATGACAAGCTGCCCAGTAGTGTAAATCCATTGTCCATGATTCAAAATATCGGGAAAAGGATCAATATATCCTATCCCCATCTACCCTCTCTCCTATCACATCTTGCTTTTCCGTGCCAAACTTCATTTCTCTACGAAATGCCCAGTACTAGTATAGCGAGAGGTAACTCAATCGATACCCTCAAAGCTTCAATCGATCTCGAGTCTTTTGCCCCAAGATTCACACATGCAGATGGAATTGGTTCCTTCCCAACAAGTTGTGCATGTCTCTTTATGCCGGTCATTCCCGGTATGAGACACAATTACCTCCAATCTTTCCACATAACTACCCTTCACGCCGTAACATCCTCTCCTGTACTCTCTCCACACTCTACTCATACCTCTCCTCCCCCTCCTCACTCCCACCATCCCCTTCATCCCCACCACCCCTCTCCTCACTAATCTGCTGCTGCAAAACAATACTATAAACACTCGCTTTCAACAACGTAAAAACCAAACTAGTCTTCCGTTCCAACTGGCGCAAATTATCAAGTATAAAGCCGTCGGATTATTCGAGAGAGTTTCGAGTGTATGCGCTAGCTATTATATAAATTGACTGTTAGTTCGGAGGAGGAATGCAAGAGGGATTGGAGGGGAGAGAAAGAGGAAGAGAGGAAAAACAGACAGTCTTCATGTTCTCTGCTAATCGTTCATATTCATCTAGTAAATCTTGTTCTGTGGGTGAAAGATCTTCGTTTGTAGGGAGTGGAATGTTGGATGCGTCTGTTTCCATGGTTGCGATGCGATGCGATTACGATTGCTTGTACTTGTCTTGCGATTGTGATTATCTTTGCGTTTGGTTTGACTGATTATTGTATGAGACTTTTGTTGATGCGCCTGTTTTGCACCTGCGGATGGGATTCGACGGAGATATGCTGTATATATCCGAGGATAGAATGAAATTTGGCGAAAAGGCGGGACGAATTCTATATTGGTGTTTCAATTCACTTGACGTTATTTTTACTTTGTCGCGTCGTGAAGTTTGCGAGATTGTCAACCCGCAGTTTGGGGAGTCACGTGTATCATATATAACATACCTCGAAGTCTCTAACCCGAGGGGCAGTTTCCGACAACTTTAGCTACGTCCACCTGAAGGGAAGTGAAGTGTGAAAGTCTAACTACTAGATAGGTCCCTCTCGGTAGTAATGTATTTTCGAGTCGAGTTGGTAGAGAAGGAGTTGCTACCTACCGTATCACCAAACGTAGAATAGCAAGAAGATGGCGAAGATGTGCATCAATTTAATCAATTTTTGTCATCCCCTACGTCTCACCAATCTCACCCTATGTAGCGTAAGACACTTCACTTGACATTCATCGCTTTAATAGTTCCCCCAAACTCCTTCAACTCTTCAACTCTTCAATACATTTATAGTTTTTCATTCCTCCAAATGTCTTATCCTTTCGGCTAATGGCCTAGCTCCTTATGATCCTCCTGGTCCTCCCAACAAGGCGAACCTTCTAACAATGCTTGGACCTATTTCGTCATATTCTGCCTGATGTCAGTATATTGTATTCGAAGGATGAGGAAAAGCCAAAATAACTTACCTGCTTTGGTGTGACAATAAGATCTAAATTCAGGGGTTTGACCCAAAGACTACCACCGAACCATGGACCGTGTCGCTGTCTCTTATGCGAAATAACTTGAACCTCCAAACCTCCACTCCTTGCACCACCGCTTCGGGCTTCACTAGCTCTAATTCTGTCATCCACCAAGTGTTTGATATCACGTTGTAATCTGCGACCGAAATCTTTGTACAATGTACTTCCTCCAGATAACACAATATTCTTATAGAGTCCACGACGAACATCGATAGGGGAAGATTGAATAACCCCATCCACAACTGTTGGAAGTGGAGTCAAGAAGTCGGAGGAGTAAATTTCTGGGTTGAAGAAGATTTCAGGTGCAAGAAACGTTCGTAACCAACATCAACGGTAACTTTGCGTCCACCTGGTTGCGTGACTGTATGCTTCTCAAATCTTCCAGGATCGCGATCGAAACGAGCAAATTCCTTCACAATATCTGGACAGACATAACAATAGTTCTCCTTAATCTCACCAGCAGTCTTCAAGGAAGAATCTGGTTCACCTCTGTCTCGGAGTAGCGATTGAACGAAGTATGTAATGTCTCGACCGGCGATAGGTATAGATTTGATTGATGATCCAATAACATATCCCTCTGCAGCAGGAATTACGTGGGTCACGCCGTCTCCAGAATCGATTACAGTTCCCGTCAAGGATCGGTCAGAAACTTTTGATGAAGTCCACGACGCAGCCAACGCGAGCACAGCCTGAACGGCAATGTAAAGACCGGCACAGTTGAAGGATTCGAACATAATTTCGGCGGTATTTTCACGGTTCTCAGGTGCATTAAGTGGCTGGGAAAGTTTGGTAAGTGAAATTCTCACGTAAATATGAGAATTGGGCACATACGGGTTCTGTTAACAGAAAATAATGGTCTTCTGGCTCGACACGGAGATATTTAAATATCGAATTGGACCAGAACCTTTCCATATGGTCCTACAGATGTTAGCTATTTTATCCTAAACGTAACCTTGGAGCCCCTTACCCAGTTCTCAAATTTGTCCATGGCGAATTGGGTAGTGTATGCCATAACCTGCCATCATCAATACCAATTCCATATATTCTATAGCTCATGCGCACCTGGTCCACTTGCGGCTGCTAATGCCTCGTCCCCAATAAAGAAGTCCAGATCTTCAGTTCCACGTTTCATCGAGAGATGTCCTCCTGGTCCAGCACCACCCGTAAGATATGAAGGCTTATTGCCAACAGCAGGACGGCCAGATCCTGAACCCGCACCTGCTGCTGCAGCACCTTTTGTCGCTATGGCGGTAGGGAAAACGAAGGAGGGAGAATCATTGCCAGCAAAACCTATAATTGATGCATTGTTAATTGTATGCTTATCTTGTCGACAAAAGAGAACAAACCAAGCTTGGAATATCCGGTACCGCTATCGTAGAAGCATCAGTAAATGTACAAATGGATAGCATCCCTTCCTCGGGACACGGGGATATAGAATGCCTTGTGGGGATCTCGAACGTACTTGTCCATGACAACGGCCGGCGTATGAGAAGCCATATTGAAATAAAGCTGCGCAATGCAGTCCCGGGTCTACCGAGGAATTATGCGACAGCTTTGGTAATGTAAATATTTTGTGCTGGGAATAACAGCAGGTATTGACCGTATCGATCGTTGGCGTTTGGAATCTAAGCTTCAAGATGACGACCCATAGGCGGTGCGTACCTAAACGAACCCCACCAGTAGCAGCAACAGCCAGTCAGGCACGATCAAATAGAAGATCACGTGCATCATATAAATTTGATCACATCAGACTTCAATTGCAATTTGCAATTGATATGTTGCACTTCCCTGTGAAGAGATCGTTGGACGTGTTCGAGATAGAAGGGAAGAAACATGAATTAATCTCTCAGAGCAAGAAGAGATTGAACAGGTGAATTGATGGTCTCTTGATTAAATGAGATCATTTCCTTGTTCTTTAAGGTTAACATAAACATTGAACCGCTCCTTCTCTTCTCCTCACCCTGTTTAGTAATATAATGTTAAAAGTGTGCATGCATATTCAAAGTCAACAAAAGGCATTTTCTAGTGTTCTACATCCTAGAATCAGTTCTTCCTCGACTCGAAACATCACCACTGCCACCATCATTTCTTTTCCTTCCACAACCACACACTCACTCACCGACACTCGTTTTTCTGAACATATCTCATAAAAGATTTACCTACATTATTGTTTGGGCCTCTGAAGTCTTGGCCACTTTTCTATATCTTGGTTTTGATCCCTCGTCCGAAAAAATATCATTTCTCGGTGTTAGCCGAAGCCTCCTATGATTGTGAAGCTTT